TATATATATATATATATATATATATACATAATTATTTATATATATTATATTATAATATTATTAATATATTAATATTTAAATATTAATAATATTTAATGATTATTTTATTATATATATGTATTGTTATATTATTTTATTTTATTAATATTATTATATTATTATGTATAATATATATTAATATAAATTATTAATATAATAATATATTATATACTTTATACTTAAATTTATACTAATATTACTTAAAATTATATAATTATTGATATATTTATTATATTCTATATAATATATTTATTATTGATATATATATTACAATAAAATTTATTATGGTATATATATATATTTTTATATGGTATATATATATACCATATTTGCAATAAAAAAAAATAGTTTTTTTTTTTTAGCAAAAAAATTATAAAATTTAAATATTAGACACAAGTGTCAGAATACGATGTGATGTTTAAAATGATTGAAGATAACTGAGAATTTTTTCTCATGAAAATAATAAATATAAATATTATTATCATCCAAGCTGGGAGAAATTTAGCGACGTTAGGCTTGCCGTCGGATATTTTTTTTAATTGAGAATAATACCTCGACACACAAAAAGATTTGAATGAATGTAAAAACATATGTAATTTCAAAAATTAAATTGAGGTGGTCTTTTAAAAACACACAATTGCAAAAAATGCAATAAACATTTACGTATTATCAATGACATATATATATATATAAGTTCAAAAAATACTTTTCAATTTGAAATATTGATAATATACATTATCTTATACTTTGCTAAAAAAAAAAATTTAACAATCTAATATCTATAAAATAAAAATAACGATAACGTTTAAAACAAAACAAAAAAAAATGAAAATAAATTAATTTATACAAAAAGAATTTTTAAATTTGAATTTACATTTGACCGACGGAACGTGTACAATGAAAACAAAACTCTTTCAAACAAGAAATGTAATATACCTTTAACAAAATTCTCAATCATTATCTTTAAGGGGCACCATTAATACAAAATTTTGAAAAGATCTAACTTATTTTGAAAATAACATAGTCAAATTTCAAGTGCACATCTCAAATAATTTTTCAGTTACAGTCATCTAATATTTCTTCATTTACAACGATTCAAATCACTAACTTAAACTGTAAAACGTATTTTTCTCGAAACTATTAAGTGGACTGTAAAGTAATGTCGCTTTTTAACCTCAAAATTTGAACGAATAAATTTTTGCAAACAAAAACGTTTTTATTATTAATCAATCATTATAATTATTTATATTAAATTAATTAATCACGTAGTGTCAACTAAACCTTTTTCTATCTGGTATGCAAATTTTTTTTTAATATCGTAACGATAAAAATCATCAATCGGTTTTTTTTTTTTGATTGAAATATTAATATCAAAATTTGACGTGCGTAGTAACGACATTACTTTTCGGTCCTCCTAAATACATTTTCCAAAATTTGCTACAGTTACAACTCGAAGACAAATCATCCGATCGATTTGATTCTTGTTGCAACTTCTTTTATATATATCTCTGCATAACATGAAACCGTCCAGTTTTTCGATCGAATGAAAAAATGTAATTTTGACAGGGCCCAAAAATCATCAAATTTTGGCGCGAAATTTGAAACGTTTTTTTTTCAAACTCCATCATTTTGTTCAATTTCAATTTTCGACCGAGTTTCATGGTACGGGAAATTGCTTCTAATTTAATCAACTTTTTGGTCTTTTTGATTTCATGCACTGTGAAGGTCGCCATAACTACAGCAGTGGGGGGGGACTTGGGAGATTGCGAATAACTCGCTTAATTTTCAATTTTTTGGTCCCAAAATTTAATCATATATTTATTACATATCCACGAATATAATTTAAACGATAAATTAAACATGTAGTTATACAATTCAACAGGATCAAAAAGAAATGTGTTCTGATCTTTTTTTTATCTATTCAACTGTTTCTATATTACACAAAGTTTTTATATATTAAAAAATAAATATTATTAATAAAAGTATGTAAATAAATTTAAAATATATATATAAGATAAAGATATTAAAGATAAAATTACATTTATATAAAAAAAGTTGTATATATACAACTAATATATAAAGATATATTTTTAAATATAAAAAAAAAACATATTTTAAATATAAAATAAATAAAATATAATTTATAAATTATATAGATAAATACATATATATATAAGATAAAGATAATAAAGATAAAAATTACCTGTTAATAACTTGCACTTAGATGAAAGAAACCAATATGATATCTTATTATTAAATCCCTCGAAGAAAATCATGCAGTATAACAAACCAACAACAACAACAACAACAAAAAGAAGAAGAAGAAGAAGAAGTAGAAGAAGAAATTAAAAAACAACTAAACAATAAACTTTCGTGATTGTTTGTAAACAATCGTTGAAGAAAATCGGGGAGAACACAACGAAGTCCTCGGGAACCGATCACGCGACTGATTCGATCACCTCGCAGTGGAGTCACCTCTGTCGAATCATAATTTTCAATCGGCGAAGGGAAAGAGAAACAGACTCAGAGAGAGAGAGAGAGAGAGAGAAAGAGAAAGAGAAAGAGAGAGAGAGAGAAAGTACACGTTTACACACACACACACATACACCACATTCACACGTGCCACATCTATACACGGGAATATACGTCAAAAGCGCCGCCAGCTAAAGGAGCTTTCACGTCGAGAGAGAGATGGGAAACTGAGATCGAGAGAACAATTTTGCCTTTTACTCTCTCACTCTCTCACCCTCACCCCTCCTCTCTCTCACTCTCTCTCTCTCTTTCTCCCTCTTCTTCTCTTTGGTTACGTAGTGGTAGAGGAACGCGTAGGCGGAGTTTCTGTTCTCCTCTCAAACGAGAGGACATCTCGATCCCTCCTCCTACTCTTTTTTTGTATTTTTTTTTTTTACTCTCTCTCCTTCTCTCACTCTCTCTCTCTTTCTCTCTCACATACACATACTCTTTCTCTTATATGTTCTCACGTATACAACATATTTAAACATATTACTTATATACACGTTTTTTTATTTTCTTCATCTCTCTCTCTCTCTCTCTCTCTCTCTCTCTCTCTCTCCATTTAACCAATCATCTTCCTTGATTTTGTTCACCTTTAATGTATCATCGATAAAAAAAAATAAAATCATTATCTGATTGATCTCTTGATTTAACACTTGAAATGCGGGCAACGTATTTTTACGTTTTTCGTAGTCTGTTAATGGAATGCGGATCACGTATAAATACGTATTCAGTAGATTTGTGATTTATAGCAGTTAACGTATAATTTTGACACAGTATGAAGTAGACATGGTTTTTAACTATGTATATGATGAATTGTACATTTTTCAATACATATGTAGTATATAATACGATAAAAATGCAAAAAAATAAGATAGAAGAAATTTTTGATCGAACTCTCGCGCGATTCTGAAAAAAAAAACGCCCGCTGCACGCGTAGTTTGATGACGAAGTATACCCGCTGCATGTCGAGTGTTAAATTTGATTTTTCATTTTTTTTTTCTTTTTAGGATTAACAAAATTGTTTAAAGAAAAGATGTCAGGTATTTAATCTTTTAATTTAGATTGAGAAAGGTAAATTAAATACACGTTGATAATGTGGAATAAATAAATGCGAGTGGGAGACGAGTTTTTGTTAAATGAGTCACAGAAATGTTTTCAAATTTTTGTCTTATTTTTTTTTTTTCTTTTTTTTTTTTACTAATCTAAAATGATACAAGTCTGACAGAGTATAAACAAAAATAAAAAGAATTCAATTTATTGAAAAATATTTGTCATTTTCTTTAAATTTAATTTAAAATATCATTTGTGTCAGATATAAAAATAATTGAAACAAGAACAGGAACGTAATTCGTGACGTAAAAAAGAAAAAGGTTAAGAAAAAAAAAAAAAAAAGAAAAAGAAAAGAAAAAACGCGCGCGTTATGAATTTAATTTAAATCGAAATGTGCATTTCGTAATTGAATTCAGAGAAAAAATCGCAATTGCACAATCTGTTACGGTTACATCGGTTGACAATTTTAAACGGTTTACAATTAACAGTTCAAAATGCTAAGCGTAACGATCTTCAAAATTCATGATCGTGCAAAAAAAATATTACGTCAATTAAACCATAAAAAAAAAAAAATAATAATAATAAAAAGAAAGAAACAAGAAAGATCGAGGCGACACGATTAAGAAATTACATTTTTTACATTGAGATTACAAAACAGGAATGCAAATTCGTTCAATCTTTTCAAAATTTCATTACGAAATAAGTTTAGATATTATTTAAATAAAATTATCTGAATAATATCTATTTATCTTAAAAATTATTTTTATTTTTTACAAAATGTTTTAATCAAATTATTTTTCATATTAAGTTTTCAATCTAAAACTTTCAATCTCTCTTTCATCATTTATCATTTTATTGAACAAACTTTAATGAACGACACTCACAATGAGAAACTTATTGAAACCTAAAGAGAAAATCTAACCTAACCTAAAAAAAAAAAAAAGGATAAACAATGGAACTTCAGATTAAAAAGGAAATAAAATCCAATAAAGAAAAATTCGATAAATTTTAGTAGAAAATATCGAAGAGAAAAAGATAAAGTGAAAGAGAGAGAGTGAGAGAGAGAGAGAGAGAGAGAGAGAGAGAGAAGGATAGTTCTTGTTCGTGAAACCATTTCGGTGGGAGAGAAAAGTGGTCGCCATGCTTGGGCGTAGCTCGTTCAACCACTCGAGCATTCTGATTGGCTGGAGAGTTTCGTTCAACTCGACGGTTACTCGCTCGTACATTTCTCGCGCATCCTCGTTCGAAGGTTCAACTCGTCGAAGATTGTATCGTGAATCGAAACCTTTTTGGGGTGGGGGAAAGGATCGATGCAACGAGCCTCTCTCGAACCAACCCTTTAACTCGAAGAAGAAGAAAAACGATCCGATCAGAATAAAATGATCGGCAATACTTTAAATACTTGCTAAGAAAAAAATTCAAAAGAAATATCAAAAGAAACAACAACAAAAATATAATTTAATCATTTAATATCAATTTTTAGGTTAATTTTCATTTATTTCAAATGATTTCAACATAAATTTGGCGAATTATTAGTTTAAAAACGATGAAATTTCGAAATAAAAGAATGACTTTGATTGGATTATATGAAAAATCAAGATGGCGGACTATATAATCGTGACTACTAGCATCAAATATCGATTGATGAATAAAATAAAAATGAAAAAAAAAAAATCACGTGAAAGGTGTGCGACTATTATTGAATGTTTGTATCGATATCTCGAAAGAATATTTTTCAACATTGGTGTCGTACTAAGCGAATCGAGTTGTTGATTGAAAGTGCGGTCTTTAAC